CTCCCAATTAATTTCCTGTCAGTCGACTAATGAACTAATCTTTGCAGTTCTGAACTTGAGCAACTGAATTTTGACAAGGTAAAAACTACAACGTTAGTATTAGGCCATATTCACTCTACTTTCTTCATGCAAAACCTTTAGACTTGCTCTACTTTAAAGTTAATGGTCAGTAAGGCAGATGGGAGCCTTTTAGACAATAGTGTTTATTTTTAGTGCTTTGTAAAACAAAGTAAAACTTTAGCTGACCAACCACAACAGCGAGGAGGTGGGGAGTTATGGCCCAGATTGCAACAATAACAGCACCAACAACAAAAGGATGGGAACATAGCTGGATTTACATGTTTGCATGCTATAGGGATTGTTTGCTTATAGCTGTATTTGATGTAGCTCATCCTTGTGGAATCTCACACATTTCCCTGGGGTTTTTCTAAATGCATAACAGTGTCAGTTTTTCTTTTTAACTTCAAACAGTGAGGCAGAGTTTGTTCTCCTGTCAAGGGACCTGAAAACGATGCACTTTTAAAATAATTTCCAGTTGAAAAGACAGTATATCATCTCTCTGACAGACCAACACCTCTGGGTGTCTATAATCAGGGCCACTGGCAGTGATGGAATAACTGCAATAATTGCATTGCAAGCACTGTACTCAAGTGAGGTACTTGAGTATTTGCATTTTATTCTACTTCTAATCCACTACATTTTAGAGGGAAATATTGGACTTTTTTTACTTACTTGACAGCTATAATTACTACTGGCTGTTATTTTTCAGAATGACTAGATTTTACAGCAATGAGTTTATAAAGAACAGCATATTGTTAAAGATCAAACCAGTGCTTTTCAACCTTTTTGACTTGTGACATTTTAGCAAAAAGCAGTGTCTGGTTGGGGCTTATCATAGGTTTCATTTAATTAACAGTTTAAGGTGCAGAGGTAAAAATAAGATAATTATTTTATATTTTCATATATTTGATTTTGCAATCAAAATATATAATTTTTTTACAAGCCATAACTCTGTTTCCCCTGTAACACATGATGTCCTTCCTAATACCTGGAAAAATCATTACCATCTTGTATGTTTAACAACAAGGCAAGTTAGCTAGGCAGGCATGTCATGGTCCCCACATCAATATCAAGATTTTCATGAACGGTAGGGCCTGTGTACTGACGGCCGCAAGCCTGAAGTAGTGAGCTGAATAGAAAGTATCATTGCGTTCCGAGGGTCAGTTGTAGGGGCTAATGTGTTACAGTCGCCATCCTGTGGTGGTCAGAAGATGAGGCACTGACAGACTACACTTAGTGCAGTGAGATATATTTATGAGATATTTAGCTAGATTTTGTTTTCATTCAGTTCATTTCAGTGTATTAATTTAAAACAGCGAATAGACAGTTTCACCGGAACTACTTCGTAGGTGTACTACATCAGGTATTAATGGACACCCAGAGTTGAGTATTCACCCAGACCATGGTGTGTGTGTATATATATGTACTCTGAGTGAATAAGGTAATAATGTAGTCACTGGAGGGTGCCACTGGATTTTCACACATTTGTGCACAGCAACATGCGGACAAAGTCATCAACCTGAATATGAATATGTATGTGCTTATGCAAGGATGAGCTTCAGCCAGATTTTGCCACTCGAGTCTTTGACTCATACTTGAGTCGCAGTCTAGGTTCTAATTTGATGTGAATGTTGTCTGTACTGAATTCAGACCTGACTTGAACTTGTTACACATAGTAAGAGATTGGTATGGAATATTCTTGATTAATTTAGTTTTTTGCCTAATCTACATTAGAGTTGGCTCCTGCCATCAGTGTAATTAGCCATTAGCACTAGCACTGACCTGCTGTTCTGGATGCTTAGATGTTCTGAATGAGTGGATGCTTTGTTTAAATTTTGTTTAAACAGTGCTTCACCGAGTTTGATTTTGATCATCAAGTGTTAACTTTTTCCATTTGAGTGGAAAATGGTGGTCTAATTTGAGCCAGTTCATGATGCAGGTTAGCTCACATTATTAGTCAAAAGATGCAATGCTGCTACTATTCATTGGCCAACTTACTTGTTTGTTTGTTTTTGTAACAGCAATGTTAATTAAAGGCAGAATGAGTAAGATTTGTCGGTTGCTCTTTGTTAACACAACATTCAAAGTTGACCCCTCCTTCCCAGCTCAGTGACACCAGAAGCACCTCTTGGATGTGTGCTTACAGTCTGACATCTGGTCACTATGTTCTGCCCTCACATCCTGTGTGTTGTTATTGGCTTGGGGCTACAAACCCACTGCCCAAAGGTTGAGTCCCAGAAATGTCCTGGACACAGCAAAATTAGAAAATAAAGGCAGAGGGCATTGTCTCTGTAGATACAGACACCACACACACACTTCTCGAGGGTCAGAAGTGCAGAATGAATGACTCAGAGGTAATCCCTCTTTTCTCATTTTTTGTATGAGTCTATACATTGTTTTTTTTAAGAAAGTACTAATATTCTGGCTAAATTAAGAAAAGTTAATTCTCTTTAGCTGCTGCTAATCATGCCCTCTTTGCATTAATGAATTCAGTTTCTGCATCCTCTTGATAATATTCCTTATTTGTCTGCAGGTGTTTGCTACTTCATTTAAAAAATAGAGTATTGTGCTTTAAAGCAATCACAACAGTGGTTCCTTTATACCCTTATAACTCTAAAAAATATAATTCTTCTGCTGTGGCATTTGTGGAAATAGCCACATTGGTAGCAAGTTTGAACCATTATAGAAACCTAAGCCTGATCCTCATACTTTAGAATTGAGACTTAAATCGGCTCTGAATATAAGACTTCAGTCCTGACTTGGACTGGCATTCTGTGACTCAAGAAACATCTGTGGTCCCAGCAAATAGCTGAGAGCCTCGCAAGCAGAGCGAAGCGGTGATGCCACCCAGGCAGGCGAAGGCGTAAAGCAGTGAGACCACAGGCTGCCAGACATCATTATCTCTCTCAGCAGTCCCCCACACACTCTCGAACTGGGTTAGACTTATGGATTCTGGGTGGAGAGACACCCGCAAAACAACAACAAAAATAACAACACTGGCAGTGTTTGCAAAGGGTGTGGGACCCCCATCTCTGGAGCCACATGGGCCTGTGTAGACTTACAGGATCCAATCCTTCCAGGACACTGACAGGATTTTCCTTCCATCACACTGTTTCCGTTTCACTGTTCACGCTGTTTCAGTAAAGAACAAAGATTTGTCGAAAGTAGTGTGCCCACTACTTCCTCAGCAAAACATAGAGAAAGGGAATAATGAAAGGAAAACCTACTTTATTGAATAAATTGTACGGAACTTGCAAGGCCAGTCTATTGCAGGTTGAAAAATCGACAATTGGATATTGCTATTTCCTTCCCTCTACATTGACGTCTCCATCCATTGTAATGGAACAAAAGCTGTTTAACCTGACAAAAGCAGTCTCACCTACAGTAACCTTGTTAGCCATTTGAACCTTGAAGGAGAGCTTTCAGTTTTCACCACAGCTCTGTAAAGCAAATGTGGCTCACAGGATTAGACTGAACAAATCACTCCCCCTTAATGCAAAAAGACAAAAGAGGCAGCTTCCAGGTGCATGAAACAGATGCATTTGATGAAACATGTCTGGAGCGTTGACAAACTGACACAGTAATTGATAAAGACACATAAATTGAATGACTTTCAATCAGCACAAAACCGTTATCAAACTGAGATGTTGTCAACATGAGCATCTCCATCCATCACACTACAAGCTTATCAGCAGTGGGAGGCATTATTCTTTTTCTCTGAAATTGGATTCATCCACAAAGCAACAGTATTGTCACTATCTGAACGCACATATATAGAGATATGTACCAGCTCACTACTTTATACACTTTGATAGCATGTACAAACATGGCAATCGTACATGAGACCCCAGTTACTAGTATCTATGACTGTTCCCATGTTTAAATAAAGTCACCCTCGCTAATACAAAGCTAACAGCTGTGTCTGACTGTTGATTTTAACAGAAATATCACTATTTTTATCTGAATTCAGGTTTTTCATTTATACTCCTCATATAAACTGCTCCGAAAATATCAAATAACAATACTTCATGTACTTAAATTAATCCATAAATAAAGCATGGTTTAAGGAAGAAGTTTTAACAGTGGAAAGTGCAGAATTGCACTGGGCCATTTACAAACTGAAGTTTTAGTTTAGATTAATTTAAACACATGCTAATGCTTATTATTACATTATTTTAAAAGGTTGTGCATGCTGTAGGAGGAGGTCCAAATGAAGTGCCATTTGAAGTTTTGATGCTTATGACAAAAATCTAAAATGTTCTCTTTACCAATTTGAGTACACTTTTTTAGATGCCCCCTAACCTAATACACTGTCAGGTTTCACACAATGCCAGGCTTCAATATCAGATCATCAGGTAAAGGGAACAAGAACAGCTTTATCATGCATTGCCCAATAAAAATCTGGTGAAGACTGATGAAACATGAACCTCGCTGAATGTGTAAATATTGAACTTACTGTAAACCTATCACATCTGTGTTATTAGTCTATAATTTGGCACATGGATTATGTTGCTTTGGCTGCTGGCAGTTTCTGTTGTCACTGTACAGACAACAATCAGAGGACTACTCTGGTAGAAAAATTATGAATTATTGTAATTAAGTAATGGACGGTGCTTAATTTCTATGTATGTCCTGAATAGACATTGGATATCCTTCCACCACTGTAAAGAGTGATTTTAGATCACAGGGTGTAAAAAAGTGGAGTGATATTTGGGGCAAATTGTAACAAATACTACTGCAGAAATTTGGATGATGTTTCTATCCTTTTCCCCTTCAGCCCTCACATATAGCACCATGGCTAATGCAAGAAGCTAAATAAAGAGAGATTTAGCTTCTTGAGTCACTTGAAAAAACAATCCGGTATTTAGAATCTGGCACACTGTTGGCCAGACATCTAGATTGACACAAATACAAATTAGTACTGATGGGATGATTCTTACCTGAGGGGTTGAGGAGCCGCCAGGTGATTGCAGGGTCTGGCCTGCCATTGGCCAAACAACTGAGTGTCACGTTACTGCCCTCATTCACTGTGATGTCTTCTGACACCTTGTAGATGTTGGCTGGAACTAGAGGCACAGGAGAAACAACATTAAGGTTCATAATATTGCTATTATTCGCGAGTATGAAACGAAAAGCACGTTTTATCTTACATGGATCAAGAAAAGCAAGTGGTTTTTTCATCTTTCTGTAAAATACATTTTCACTCAAAATAACTTTCCATTAAAAACTGTACTTGTCTCCCATGCCAGCTGCTTGGCTCCCATAACATCCTTTGCCATCTCTTTGTAGAAAATTGACAATAAAAAGAGGTTAAATGCAAACACTAGCTGACCTTGATTCTCTCAGTGAAAGAAAGAGTTGAGGAAAGCTTTGAAGAACCTTTTTCCTACTGCGGTAGCCCTCAGAGGTACTTACAGTAAACTTTTTCAACCCAGGATCCAAATAAGCAATTTAATCTCCTGCCCCGGGACCTGAGCTCATGAAAACAGATTGCTTCTCTTGTCATAGGGGGACCCACCAGACGCTTGGCACTGATTCTGAGTTTCTTTCAGAAAAATAGGTTTTAATATATGGACCAAAATCTAAAGGTGAAACAAAGAATCTTAAGTGTGTGTGTTTGTACACTAATGGTCAAGGTAACACAGGGCTACTTCATCTCGACGCAGCGTTCAATGATGATCCCGCCTCACTATCTATTCCTCACTCCTACTGCTCTCCCTCGCACTCAAACAAACAGAAACCTAGAGAGAGGCAGAGGGAGAGGGAACTATACTCTAGCAAAAAACAGCTCAGATGAATTAAGAAGGTACGGACTGTTTTGTGAGTCAGCAGCAAAGATGCAATCAATCATGAAGGATGTAGGGGGCATACATCACTGTTTTCACAAACTGTGGGTAAAGTGGTCGGGATAAGGTATCATATATATACAGATATGAGGCCAGAAATACAAATAATGATCAATGACTTCGGAATATGATGAATGCTGGCGCATGCATAATGTGGGCAAATGAAGAAGAGTAACTTTTTTTTCCTCTGAACTTGTGATAAGTGGATTTTCTTTTCCAATTTCAGGGATGCGTGGATGTGTGTCAGGGCTCAGCACACCTTAGGCCAGGGGAAAGCAGCTCTTTAGTTGATTTACTGGTATGCTTTATATGCGGCAAGAAATTAGCATTATAAGGCTCAAATATGTTTTTTTTTTTTTTTTTGACAAAAATGACTCTTTTGATAGTACAGGCTGCTGACCTCTGCCTTAGGCCATGTTGTCTCTCTTAACCCAATTAAGGGTAAGATTAGATTATGGTTAGATTAATCATTCCCAGTGAAACACTTGCATTCCATCCAATGTTTAAATGAGGTGTAAGCATGAACCCATTGGTGTATCTCTGTGTCAATCAACATATCATTAGTCCTGTTTCTTATGTATAAAATAAGTAATCAGGTTTGACTGCAACTCCTCCTTGCAAGTTTGTCTCATTCTCCTGAACTAGGTGAAGAAGCAAGAAGAAGCATAAGTCATTTATTGGTTAAGATGGTTAACCATCAACAAAAAGAATCCACACAATACTGCTTAATAAAAACACATGGACATTATATTATTGTTAAATGAACAATAGGACAAATATAGCAAATAACAAGGAAGTTGGGGTGGTATTATGGCAGCAAATAGTGCTGGTATGAACGTTTTTGCTAAGTAATAGTGAGAAGTTGTACTTGGTGTAATGGCTGCACTGTACACATGCATGAATAAAATTGGCCGTTAAGCTGGGGTCAGCTAAGCCACATAGTAGATGAATAAGCCAGTGATTGTGAAGCATGAATGAAACGGCTGATGCCAATCTGTGCATCCTGAACTGATGTTATGGTCCAGATCTGACATCGTGAGATTTGACAAATAAATGCATTTTTCTGGGTGATCCCAAAGTCTACATGCATATTATCCATCCTATATCTTGGATGGAACCATTTCTTCTTTTTCTAATGCCCTGGTTATTCAGAAAGAGAAAATATTCACCATTGAGTTTTGTGCTGGGGCATGTTGTCATGAACATCCAGCAAAGTCAGAAATGTTTCAACTCTGGAGCTTAGCATTTTCTTAGCTTTTTCTATCAAGGGCAAATATTGTTCACCAAATGCAGCTAGACCTATGATCCACTCTCGACCTGCATTCAGCGCCTGCTGGGTTTCGAGCACATACACAGTATCTGCTTGTCATTCAAAAGTCAATTTATTTAATAAGCCCCAAATATCCTTGTGCATCAGGTGGAAAAAAAATTGCTAAATTGCTTGCTTTTTTTGGTTCATACAATGTGACCCTGCCATTGTCTTGAACTGACCCAGAGAACAATAATGCTTTTAAAACCATAGGAGACAAAGACAACTCCCTGTATGTTATTGAGTGTTTTCATTATACTCCATCAATCTGTACCATCAATGCTTCCCTATGTCTATGGCTGACAAGAAAAGACAATTTCTTGTGAAAATATCTGCCTGTATTTGACCTCCCTGTTTTGTTTGAATGTGCAGATTTGCATTTTGTGATTTGTATATTACAGTTTTATTAATACACTTAGGTCTAATGTGTAGGATTTCGTGGCATCTAGTGCTATAGTTGCAGATGGCATGTAGGAGAAACTACGATGGCCTCCATGGATGACAACCTGTGTCTCTAGATATAAAACGTTCATTTTAAGCTAATGAAAATATAACCATTTGACTTTCAGGATATTATACACCAATGGAAAATTAGTTATACATATTATATTCACTGGTCCTTTAAATTAAATCTTAAAAAAATTGTTTTCTTTTTCACAACTAACTTCAAATATCCATGTTTTTAATCCTGATTGGGATGTAATAGATATTTTATAAGTCTTTCTTAAAAATTAAAACACATCAAACAACTCTTCTCGAGTGCTCAATGCTTTATTCACCAAAGGTTCTGGGCTCTCTTTTATGCATCACTGTGTCTGAGGCTGTTTCCAATTTTCTTATACAATTAATGATCAGTCATGTGACTGATAAATCACCATACAAATATAGATGACCATAATACAGACTATATAATATTACAATCATCTTAACCCATAAATAGTAAAAAGGCTTCATATTCATTTTCTTCAAACTAATTCAAATTCAAAACACGACCTACTCCAATCCTTCCCCTCACTTAACATTTATGAATAACCCTAGAGACTTCAAAGTCAATCCTAATTTACCTTAACACATCCATATTTTAACTAAATTTCCAATCATTCTGAAAAAATACTCTGTTCTTTGAGAACAATATAATCCAGTAGACGCTATAAAACCTGAGAGGGTTAAATGAGAAATTAGACGTGAAGCCATTTTTGATTGACTTGCACTGAAGCTCACACTGGTCTACAGCTCACTGTGTGTGAAAGATGTCTTACTTAAACATCAGTGAGCATGTAGAATATATATTGTATGGCATTCAGAGGAAGTATGAATTAAGGAGGTCGAATAGTCCTGAAATGTCAGTTCTTTAATAAAACAATTGCATTCTTTTTGAGTGTGTGGATTTGACCTGCACATGCACGGTAGTGTAATAAACCTTAAATTCCACAATTAGAACAATAGACTATACTGTATACAACGTCAGATTCACATTTATTGAGCCATCCACATTATTTACAGATAAAAGGCAGGTTTGGGAAGTAAACCATTAAAGTTTATGAGTTACCTGCTTAAAAGTGTCAACAGTAGCACAATCAGTTTGCAAAAAGCTGGTGTGGAAAGTAACAGACTCTGCCAGTTCTCAACTGTTGTCAATTTGTCCATAAACAGGGCACTTAAACTCCAACTGCTCTATTAAAGTAACTCACTGGCCCTACAGTAAAGAATGCGCTCTACTCGTACTACCGTTGTTGGGTGTTATCCATGCCAGCAGGTACTGTGGCTTCCTCTTGTAGCGAGCCATTTTTCCAGTTTCACACCTTGATTTTGGTGCATATATGAACCTTCAAAGACGTTGTCTTTGCCTGGCTGACTATGTAACTAACAAAAACACATACGGAAAATCTATACTGAAAGCATTTAAGAGTTCCAAGTTGTAAACACATCTGTGAGGGCTGCATCATATGGGAATTCATACACAATCTAAACCTGATAGGAGTCGCTGTGTTGAATTGAAATGAAGCTTCACCGTTCCTTCATATCGACCATGTTTTCTAAGAAACAATATTTCAGATTGTTTCTCCAGCAAGGTTATTATTGAAGCTTTGTCTCTGTACAGCATCACTAACAGCCTCGCCCTAACTATCGTCTCTCTCCTTCTCTCTCTCTCTCTCTCTCTCTCTCTCTCTCTCTCTCTCTCACACACACACAACATCCCCAAGTAACCCATCTCTCTAATACCAACTGACAAGACTTTCACAATTGTGCCAAACAGCATTTTAAATGAAGTCATACAGAGTTATTGCTGTAGTCAAATGACCAAGCCAAAATGAAGATGTGTTTTCCAGATATGGCAAGATGGAACGGGGGATGGTGGGGCGGAGGCACTCGATTGAGGTGACGAAGAATCCAATTGGCTTTTTTCCCCCCTCAAAAACAACTAAAGCGAGGCGGGGTGGGGTGGGATAGGAGAGTTGATTGGCTAAGTTGGATGTGTGACTGGAGAATTAATCCTGCAAAGCATAGATAAAAATGGATCGAGTAGGAAACAACTGCTCACACTCTGATAACCCTGTCACCTCTATAAATGGGAGGGACGGGAAGGGAAGATGGGGAGAATAGTGGAAAAGGAGAAGAGATGAAGAAAGTGTAGGATAATTCCATTATGACCTCTCCTGTTTAGGGTACCATTGGAAGGGTGAGAGGCCGGTCACCAAGACCTGAGCCAGGTCACCGTGACCTAGAACAGAGCCAGAACATCACAACTTGGAATGGAGCCGGGAACATCAGCCAGATGTCAGGAAATAGTGAGCGTCACCACACACACACACACACACACACACACACAATCATACATATAGTGCTGATGCCCAAAAGCATGTCCTTAAGTGGCCAAAGTACAACATGAGATATGATCCTTTCATGGGAA